GATGTTTTAATATATATATATATATATAAGTAATATATAAAAAATAATAAATGAGTGTGATTTAAAATAAATTAATATTTCATTCTCTCATAATAGTTTAATATCAATATAATATAAATAATAATTATTTACAATAAGAAATAAAATTAAAAAATTAATTAAAAATAATCTATCTATTTGCAAAAAAAAATTGAAATTTAAAGATGAATAATAGCACAATTAAAAATTAAAGTGTTCACTTTCTAATTAGATAAAATTTAATGATTCATTAATATAATATTAAAGTTTATAATGCTTATTCATAAAAGAAAATCAGCAGAATTCAATACTATTAGATTTTTCTTTATAAAACTTAATTAAGAACAATTGTTAGACTCAATTTATATTGTCTAACATATTAATTATTTTCAAATTAAAATACTCCTAATTTGATAAAACTACATTAATTATAATTTTTATTAAAAAGTACACTAATTAATTAGAAAAATATGACTATTAAATAAGAGAGAGTAATAGTTTAAAACATACACTTTAATTATTAAGAAAATATGTGATTTTTAGTTAAGAAAAAAAGTAGTATAAATATATTTTTTAACAAAATATAAATAAAAATTTTATTTATTAACTAAATTTTTTTTATTTTTTATCTTAATATACTAGCAATTATCATGATATATATAATATTCTTTCCATTTTTTAATTATAGTCGTTTTGATATTATTATTATTATTTATTTATTTTATTTTTACTTTTAATAATTAATGTATGTTTATTAAATAATATATTTATTTATTTTTAATATATTTATTTATTTTTCTAACCACTTAAAAAGTATAACAAGAAAATAAGTAATAAATACTTTAAAAATTAAAATATTAATTATTTTTTTTAATTTTTGTATGGAGGAATTATTATTTATAGTCAAATTTATAAAACAATGGGCTTTTACTTTAGTGGTATATAATACGGTTTTATGCGTTAATTTTGAAAAGTAAAAGAATTAATTATCCTTAATAAATAATAAATATGAATGAAAGAAAGGCATGGCATAGGGCGGTTGACTAAAGTAAGCAGCGTTTCCAACGCTGTTTCCTTGGTTTGTGATAGACGAGATCTACACCCGCGATTCCTCAGATCTTCAAAGGAGCTCAGATGGAAGAAAGGAAGCAATCACGCTATGTCAAACTCTCCAAAGATCAGTCACCTCTCGAAGATATCACCCCTGGCGAACTCAACCAACCAATTCAGGTTCCTCAGGTACCTTCTTTTCCCCAATTTTGTAACCAAATCTTCTTCAAGGGCTTTAGCTAACTAGTTTAGCGTCAAATTTTATTTATTTCGTGGTTCTATGAGTTATGTCAAAGTGGATATTAGACCTGCACATTTTCAATCACCTTCCAACCCAAACCCACAATTCAAAATTGGTATTAGAGTTTATCCTAGCATTTGTTATCAGGCCAAATGTTCAGTCTTGCAAGTTTAATTTCACGTTTGAGGTGTTTAATCCTTGGCACAAGGGGTGTATGTTATATAAATATATCTCACATTGACTAATGGACCCCTTGTCAATGTGGGTAGTGGAAAGGTGAGAAGAGTGTATACAAGGGAGGGATATAAGGATAATCCTTACGAGTTATTTTTGTAGGATTGAGTTCGGAAGAAATTCACATTCTTAAGAGCAATCCGAGGAATTAGTTATGCAGCTTCTGTTTTAACTTCTAAATTTAAAATCTCGCGTAATAGTTATGGAGCTGTTAGTCACTGCAATCTGAAAATGTTAAACTTGTGCCGGTATTTCTTTGGGGTTTTGAGTGACTTTTCATCTGCTTATGGTTTTTGATACATTTCAGTTGGATGTTCGCAAGTGCCCTGAATGTAGACAGCCGCTACCTGAAAGCTATTCACCTCCTGCAGATGAACCTTGGACGACTGGGATCTTTGGATGTGCTGAAGACAGAGAAAGCTGTAAGTTAATGCATGAACAAGCTCTCGAAATGTACTAGAATTGGGATGGTAGCTATGATATATTCTTGTTTAGTCAGTCAGCTGGGATCTCGGGAATGATCATTGTGTTACTTTATTAGACTAGATTGCAGATCCATGAATTCATTTAATACTAATTAGTTGTCAGGTCAGAGACTAAAGTGATAAGCGAGCATCAGTATCACATAAAATAAAATTTCATTATAAAATATTGACTTCCTTTGACCAAGTCGTTTTCTTACTATCAAAATATATAAAATACTTTATTTGCTCAATTATGGTTGGGCTATGCTTTAAACTTCGATGTGAAGGATTTATAAGTATGGCTCTGGCAGGAGTTTGCGTTTGTACATTGCACTGACATTTGACTTGCTATAGTAGACAGTTGCTTCCTGTTACATTCTTTTACCTTCATTGCAGGCTTGACTGGACTGTTTTGTCCTTGTGTATTATTTGGGCGCAATGTAGAAAGATTGAAGGAAGACACTCCTTGGACTGGGCCATGCATTTGTCATGCCCTTTGTGTTGAAGGTGGCATTTCTCTGGCTGTAGCAACTGTAGCTGCAACTTCCATCTTTCCTGCTGTTGACCCGGGGACTGTATGTCTCATTTTTGAGGGTTTAATGTTTACTTGGTGGATGTGTGGCATTCACACTGGTCAAGTTCGGCAATCATTACAGAAGAAATATCACTTGAAGGTAATTATACGAGCTTGTCCTGTTACAAAACCTACTTCTATTTTCTTTTTGAGCAAAATATATGGTGATAAGATAATTTTTAGGTATTTGGATGCATATTTTGAGATAATTGGTAAGGAAACAAAGATAGACTTTCTGTCTGTAATCTTAGTAAGTAACCATGAAATCCTGATAAACTTTGGGAACTGTTTTTACAATGCTACAAGACCTGGAAGATGGAGAGAGAAGCTAATGTTGCTGTTGTGTTGTATGTCATCTCTTCGCTCATCTAGTGTAACTGGAAGATTTGCTCTCTTGTTTTTGTATGATGGCCTCTGCCTTTAGGGACAATATCATATTTTTCATCAGTTCTGATAACTGGAACATCCATGCTAACATGGGGTTAGAACCCCGACATTAGGCAAGGCCACCACAAGATCAAATGCCTGATGGCTGTGATTAGCACAGTGGAGTGAGTGGAGAATATCAGATGGTCAATTTAGTCAATATAGCTTTTATTGTGTTTCCTAGGAGCATGATACTTGTGTTAATTGTTTCCAGTTTCCTCTGATTTCCTTTGATTTTTATACATGAAACTTGTTTTTAAGGACTGCTTACTTATTTTTATGATTGCAGAATTCACCGTGTAATGCATGCTGTGTGCACTGCTGCTTGCACTGGTGTGCCTTGTGTCAAGAACACAGGGAGATGAAGGGACGGCTCTCAGACAATTTATTTTCAGAAATGACTGTTGTAAACCCTCCTCCCGTTCAAGAGATGAAGTCCACCACCGAGGACAAGGAAATTCCCGAAACCTCTTCACCTAACAATAACGAGCATACTGAAGTGGAGATACAGGCTGTATAAGCTATACAATACCATTGTTAATACTTAATACTGAGGGTTGGGGGGTAATGTGTTTATTTTAATAGAGGATTTTTTCTTTTCACCTTTGACGTTGAGTTATTTCTTCCCGTTTCTTTGGACATGTCACATGTAGGTGTATCACATACATAACTCTCATCGGCTTTAGAGATCCATATTATTATATACCGAATCCTTAATTTTGAATTTGTTTTCCGGCTTAAAATAAATACATTATGCAAGAGTCTTATCTTTTAATTTTGTTTTTGTCATTTATTTCTTACTGTCCTGGGTCAGAACAGATGTATAAAGTGCGGAAATTTAATTAAAAATTTCAGCCTCTAATTGATCGTTCTGGTGATGTTCAATCTCAGGCAGTGATGAAATAAAATGAAAGGCCATCTAATATTAAAATGTAGTTAGTTTTGCTTCTTATATATGTTGGATATATTAATGTACAGGAACGGGGATTTAGTTCGAAAAACATTGTCAGACTAACTAATAATCTTTTATGTATGTATATGACTCATCCAATGTATGAATGAAATAACTATGCAACGTTGCTACTTTAGCTTGACTACTTACACATGCTAACAAATGGTTAATTTTATTTACAGTTTTAATAAAACAGTACGTTAATAGATATAAAATTAATAAATATACCTGTACGTTAATATTAGTAATAATAATATTGTACTGTCCCGTTTAAACTCAACTGAGTTACTCTGAGTTGTGCTATTGGACGTCGTCAGGTCGTTTGACGTGGCAAAGCCTTGGTCAAGGGTGGACCAATAAAGGAACAGCTCAGAAGGAGTTTTTGGTGAACTAGTGGGGAAGGATATAATTAATCAGTAACTGAGGGACAAGAATGTAATCTAATCCGATTAATAGCAAAGAGTTACCACTCTTATCCCCAAAAAGAGATAAAAAAAAATAGTGAGGAGCGAGAAGCTTGGACGCTGAGAACGGGTTGGAGTTAATACTTAATACATCTCATCAAAATAACACCTCGATTTTTTATAAATACAAATATGATTCATAAAATTTTATAATTATGTTTAATTTTTTAAATTTAATAATATATAATCATCCAAACAGTGTCGCATATGACAAAAAGTTGTTACTACAGATGTAACAATGTCACAGTTCCAGACCGCCCAGAGAAATGTAATAAAAGAATGTAAAGATTTATGGGTAGAGAAGACTTAGGATGATAGAAGCATGTTAATCTATATTCAATTTTTGATTATTTTTATAATTTTTTTTTTTTATAAAAAAAATTAATTATCAACAATTAATTAATAATTATTTTTTTATCCGTAAAAAAACTCTACTTATAATTTTAAGAAAATAAATTAATAATATTAAATTAATGAGAAAAATATGATATATTATTAAATTTTTTTCTTGATATGAACTTTCATAAATAATATAAAGTTTAAAGAAAAGTTTGACTTTAACTTTTTTTCCTTATTTTTTATTTTTTAATTCACTTTTTATTTTTTAAATCGTGAATTGTAGTCTATTTTATTCGGTTAAAATCTTGAAATTAAATTATGAATTTTTATTTTTCTACCGTATTTTTTTAATATGTTATTATTAATGATCCATTTTTCAATGTATAGTGTATCTATGTTTAATTATTTTTTTTAGTAATTATTTGTTTAATTGTTTGTATATTACCTTTTTAAGTTTGAGAATTGAAATGATAAGTGATACTCAAATAATTATAAAGGCATTATTTCTTTAACTTTGCCAAGACACTAAAAAACTCAAATTGATCCTGATTTTAATTAATTTTTATATATTAAATATGAAAAATTATCTTGTGCAATAATTTTTTTTAGGAGTCATTATCCCACAGTAATATTTGTAAAATTCTATAAATTTATTTTTAATTAATTTTTTATTTATTATATTTATTTATAAATTAAATTTTAATATTTTTATAGTAAATTTATCAATAATTAAATTTAATATTATGACATAATATAAATATAAATTATATGTTCTATATCTAAAATATAATTAATATATTTAAAAAGTATTTATTTATATAAATTTTAAACACAATTCATATGTTTAAATATAACAATATTTATATATGATTTATTATAAATTTTAATTATATAATAAATATTTATTTTTGAGAGAATTATATAATAAATATAAACATTTGTTAGTTGTATATAAAAAAAGAAATGGTTTGAATGGTCAGGATTCGTGCGGTTGAATTTCAACAAGAAAGAAATAAAATCATATTTTCCACACTAATTATTCAATATTATAAACAAGATTATCTCATAAAGGCGGCTGGTGAACATTATAAAACGTAACAATAGGGTGTTATCATTATCTTCTGTACCTATCCATATCTTTTTTATTTATCATTTACACTCTATCATATGGAATCATATTATTTTACGGGTTAAACCAAGTCAATTAACCGACCCAATTAATAAACTATAGCATTTCTTCATTATCGACAAAATCTATATTTTATTTAATAAATATTCAAAAATCATTAATGTTTTCAAATCTCAAAGTTTTAATTTAAAATCTTATATGTATAAGAATAATTAATTTTAAATATTATTTTTTTTATTATTTAACAATTTAAAATAAATTTATCATCAAATCAAGTTATATATATTTTTTTTTAAATTCCTGAAATGGTAAATTTTTAAAAAAAATCCAAAACAAAGTAAGTCGTATTTAAAAAACACGACTTTCATTGTTTTTTATAACCACAAATTTAAGTTTTTTCTTTTCTTTTATTTTAACAAAATTAATGTTTAAATTTACGAGTATTGTTTTTCTGTATTTTTGGCATTTGAGAGTCAGGAGTCTATATATGATCAATATGTTTAATTATTTTTCTCTTATAGTAACTTTAAAATAATAATTTTATGTAAAATTAAAAAAAAGTCTTGTTTACTAGTAAAAAATTAAAAAAAGAAAATGTATCCCTTTGAAGGATTTTTAATATTTGGGTAGAAAAGGCTCCTTTTAAATTTGAAACTAGTTATGAATTTTGAGTGAGGGAATAGCAGTGGAGTATTCTGGTAAGATTGATATATCATATAAGATAGTGGTATGATTGAAAAATAAGATGAAAAAAGATAAAACGCAAGGCGTGTATATAAATAAAGAAAATAATAGGAGGTGATTTGTGATGATAATCAGAATTATTAATTGTTATTATTATGCGTTGGATGGGTAAGGGAATTTGTGTGGGCGTTGACTGTGTGAAGAAGGATCATATTCATAGTCATAGTGACTACTGCGGGTGTGGCCTATGCGTATCCAATCATTCCTCTTCCTTTTCTATGTCATCTGCTCCGCCCTCCTTTCGCCGTAAAACTCACCGGAGAGTCATGGGAGACGTCTTCTACGGCAACGACGACCACCGCGAGATCAACGATTGCATATTCAAGCAGGACGTCATGGAGTCCATGACAACGCAGCGCAAATCCAAAGACCTCAAACGCAGCCGACAAAACAAGAACTGCTTCAACCTCCGATGCTTCGAGTTTCTCACGCTTCTCCGCGCCTTCGTCAACTTCTGAGATTCATTCCTCAATCTCCTTGTAATTATTATTTCCATTTCCTAAGTAAGTCCGATTGTACAAAACTCCTCAAATTTTTTATTCATCCGCAATCTTTCATCCAATTACTTCTCTCAATTCCTTTTCGTTACAGCGTTGCTTGATTCATCGCCTAATCCTTCAGAATCGTCTTCCATAGATGCGATCGATTTTGTTGATTTGTTCTTCGTCTCGTTAATTAGTTGTTGCGGTGTTGATACAGTTTTGTTACTATTCGCCGCTGGTTAGTTTCATATACACGCAATAATGATGATGAAAAAAATTAGCATTATGAATTGTGATTTTGCATTATTGTTTAATTTAATTGTAGATTAATATGTGTATTAAAGTCCAGAAACATTCGTCAAAAGAAAAATAGTGGAGAGAATATATATTAAAAATTAAGTATGAATTATTGAGAGTGGGAATCACCCAGCGAACCGTGACATAAAGTTTGGTTCGCATAACTTTTGTTTGTTCGGAACGTGATAAATTATGGTTATTTCATTGTATAGTATAGGAGGTGTCACAAACAGGGATCAATCCCTTGTTTTGTAATTATACAAACGGCGATGACTCCTTGCCAGATGTGTAAATTATTTAATTTAATATATTAAAAACAATTATTTATTATTCTGCAACTGATAAATAATTAGCGTAGCGGTATAGTTGAAGCTATTTTAGTTTGGGAGTTATATCATTAATTAATTTACAAACAAATTCATAAAAATATGTGAACTTTTTTAATTACCTTCTTATATAACTGCAATTATCTACCCGTTTTCATAAATTATTCTAAATTTTTTCTCTCAATCAAATATTTTTTTACATGATTTAAATTTGATATCTTATTTAAAGAATTTGAGTCTATTTTATATATTTATATTTTTTTGTTTTATTTTGTAAATTTTTAAAAATGAATTTTACCACTTTATTTATGCTTTTAGATGTTCTAATTGTTTTTATATATAATTTCATTCAAGATAAAAAAAAAAATATAGGAACACACTGTCGCTATCACTTGTAGATAACTAGACCAGATATAATTCAATTCGTGTACGTCTCCTCTTCTAGTTGATCTTTCTATCTTGTGTTTTTTTCTGCAACAATTAAGTATAGCACTATTTGTCAAGAATTTCCCCTCGGCTAAGTATTATTGTTTAAATTTATTTAATGTCAGACATTCAATTTATTCTATTAATGATTTTTACAATATATTTCGATGCATTATAGTTGAGAATAAGAGAGTGGCAATTAAAGCTTTAGATACACGTTCTAGAAATATTTTGTTTTCTCAGTTGAAATCAAATTCAGTATAAAAAACTTTATTACAACTTAAGTTTTTTAATCAACCAATTAAAGAAAATTTCATTAGTCTTTGAAATATATCTATAATCTTTTAATAATGTAAAGAGAGACCTTCTTCTCTCCAAAAACTTTTTTCAAAGTTTTATATTAATTAAGTTATATTTTGTCCAAAAATTACTTCCAAAACTTTATATTAATTAAATTATATATTAATTAATTATTAAAAAAATAATATATTAATAATGAAATAATATTTTTGAAAAATAAAAAAATATCAATAACATATAAAGTGAATAACTCCTCAAATATTACTTTGTAAATAGCTATGGACAGTTTTAAGTAAATGTAA